GGTTATTATTGACCAAAAAAATATCTCCTAAGAAATTAATTCTTCCTAAAAATTTCAGAGGGGTGGTTATTCCCTCTTTAGTACACGTCTGGACAGGTCCATCTCACACAGAACAAGTCAATGTATTTGATGCTTGGTCACTCATTGATTTATATTTATAAATATTTATTCAAATAGATAAATAACCAATATTTATCTTTGCACATGTGTAATTCATTCGACTAATATAAACTTGTTGGTAGTATGTGCTTAAAATTATCAGGACATGGGTCCATTCATAATATAGTATCAGTATAAATGTTTTTGGAAACAGTATGAACTATGAACTACTAATAAGAAACCTTATGTTGCATTTTTAGCCATACAAATTTAACATTTGACACATTTTGTCCAAATATCTAACTTCAAATATAAAAAAATCTTGTCTACATCATATCTTGAATATTTTTAAATAACTATGGTAAAAACTCATGAGGAAGCTTTATTTTTGAGCCTTTTGACTCTGCTAAACAATTTTTATCAATATTTTTTTTAAAAAACCTAAAAAAACTTATAATTTTAAACGTCTATAATTAACTCAAAAACAGTTAAATTTTTATCACATATAGAAAACGCTAATAAAAACATCGGGTAAAATTTTTAAGAATCTGAAGTTTTTTGTCACTGAATGACTGAGTTACATCAAAAAAACAAAATCAATTTTGTCAAATACTAGTTTTAGGTAAATCGGTTTGTTATTAATTTAATTTTGGTTTTCTGGTAATTTTAAAAAAAGTAACATTTTACTTTTTAAGTTGATGACAGATAAAGAATAAAGATACATCATTTTAAAATCGTTACACTCATCACTCTGCTTGGAAATTCAAATGTCAACTGAGATATTTTATCTTTTTTTGAGACAAAAATAAATTTGGTACTTAAATAAATATTAGTTTTGTTATTCAGCATCTATTTTTCAAATTATTTAACTTTAATCATTATAATACATTTAGTAAAATACACATATTCAGTGAAATAATAAATATGAATAATTTATGCTTGATATTAATTTTTTTTTTCAATTTTCTTGGGTATTTTAAGTTTATATAATTAATTAGAAGTTACCATTGATGACTCGGTGGAGATGTATTGTCATATTGAGTATAACCAACAACAATATCCTCTGGCCACATAGAAGGGGTTAGACCAGAAAATGGTTTCCCTTTGGTAAGTTTAATATTGTTGCCCCATTCTTTCAAATTATCTAAAGCAAGTGCATTTTTCAATTCTTCATTAATAAGGTCATTGTCTTCTTCATCTTCTGTTTCCAGAGCAGTTTCAATCCGAACCTGCTAAACATAAACATAACTAGATATTCAAAAATAATAAATTTAATGATGTTAAATTTAATTAAGAAGGTATCTACCTGAACAAATAATAATAATGTACTAGATTAACTAAAAAAGTACATGTATTAAACTTTCAAAATATGTCCCATACATCAATTAATAGTAAACCTTTTATACAATAACTTGATTTGATATAATTTTATGATACTAAAACAATAAGCATAACAATCACACATAATATATTGAATTACTTACATTATCCTCCTTGCCCAAGTACCCGTCATGTGATCGTGTCAAAAATAATTGTTTTAAATCCATTTTTCAAACTTTGGAATATAATTTCTATACAGGAAATAAACGGTAACATATGTTGAGATCTAACGGTAGCAGGAATCTAACACAATAAATTATCTAAGTCCAGATACATATTTTCCCTTTAGTCTATAACAGCTAATAACTAACAGGGCTTATGTATGTATGAACACATACAATTTATTAATTTCTGATTAACGATTATATTATTATATCTGTGTACAAACAATAGGTATTCGTTTACGATGCATCTATAGAAAAATAAATAATAATATAACTGCAGTAGTGTACTAGTGCAGCACCAGCAGCTGCCCACTCACACCACACCAACTCATCTGATGGACTGATAGTAGAGACCTATCATAATATATTCTGGGGCCGTATATTGTTTTTTAGGTGATATCAAATATGATATTGTACTATTGTAGTCACTCTGATACTACGGAATAGGCGAAACCGTGATATCTAGAATATTCTATTCTTCTTGAAACCACGAATACCTAATAATGTATCTGAAATCGAGGGTTAGGTTAGGTATTCTGTGCCCTGTGGTGATTCCTCGCAGTATGTTAAATGTTAATCCACCGTGGTCGGGATCATTTTTTACATTAAAATCGTTGATCCTGATCCACCATCTGAAATGCTTCTATACCTACGAATATACGTCATACTGTCTAATGTTAAGTGGTTTGCCACTTATTCTAAATACGATTTTTAATTGAAATTCACAGACAAATTTTCTACATAAGAATACGAAGTTTTAAAAATAATAATATTATGTCGTCATTCAAACAAGTAGAACCATTGATAACGATATAAAAAATAGTAAGCACTGCCGACGGACTAAGATATAAATATATATACATCTTAGTCTGTGGTAAGCACTATAAAATATAATACATATTTATAAGTTATAAGCAATACATTTTATTTTCAATGATTTTGTTTTGTAATGATTTAAAATTGTGGCAGAAAAATACATGAAAAAATATAATTACCACAGATTAGTCTGCAACAGATACAATATAGCATACATTTTCTACACACGATAAAAATTTAACTGTTTTTGAGTTATTTATAGACATTTAAAATTTTAAGTTTTTTTAGTTTTTTCTTATAAATATAGATAACATTTTTTAACTGAGCGAAAGGCTCAAAAATAAAGCTTCATTATTAATTTTTACTATGATTAAAAATATTGAAGGTATTTGATGCAGTTCAGATTTGTTTTATATTTGAAGTTCAAATTTTGACAAAATGTGTCAAATGTAACATTTTTAAGGCGGAAAATTTAATATAAGGTTTCTTATTAGTTGTTCATAGTTTATACTGTTTCCAAAAACATTTTATATTGTAGATCATACTATAAAATAAATTCCTATAATATCAATATAAATTTATCGTAAAAATATAATATTAATTAATGTCTTAATGATTAGGTACATTTGATACTTACTGGTATACTGTATAGCAAAGAGGGCAAACTTTCCCATTTTACCAATTTAAAAATTAAAATAAATAGTACACAATTATGAGAAAAAGGGTATTTTTAAAAAATCAAACTTTTACCAATGACCAATTTATAAAATATGATAATTTATTAATTTTTTTATTAAATTTAAGTGTCAAATGATTTATAAAATATTTTGTGTAGGAATGAAAATGAAACATTTATATGAATATAATATAGACAATTAGACTTAAAACATTTTTTACACGTTTGCAGTTACCGGTGATTAAAAATAATTGTTTTGTTTTGTTTTATTCAATTAATATAATATATTTAAAATTTTTGAATTGTTGTCCTTGTCCTTTTTCCCTAGTCTTTTCAGTTTCACCGATTACCCCTACCAACAAGTACTAACAAAAAATCCTCCAACAATTTATTAACCAATGAAAATTGTCATAGGCATGACAAATTTTTGGAGCTTCTGATAGAATTGACAATGGGATGCATAAAAGAAGGTCAATATTTTATTATAAAATTATTTTTATTATGAATCTTCATTCTAAATAATCTATACTACATTTTTTTCGCATATATTGGATTTTTAATGAAAATAATACCAATTATCACATTAATATAAAAAGTATACTTTTGAATACAGGATATTATGTATATTTATATAATATATTAAAAATCAATTATCTATTGTAGAGCTTAACAAAATTGTAAAATAAAAAGTGCAAAAACAATAAAAATAGACTTCCGCATCAATATAAAAACATTTTACATTTACATATTGAAAAATAATTTTCTGCAGAAATAAATGTTTTGGTAACCGTATCAGTAGAAAAAAAAATTTAAAAATATTCAACTTTTACATTATTTTAAGTGTACAATAAAATTATTATAATAAGTACACAATAAACTATACACAGTATGTTTTTTATAATTATACATATAGAGAGTAATATTAACATTTAAATGTTTGAACACTTGATATTAAATAATAAACAATTCACGTCTTACAACATACATTAGTAGTAATTTTTTTCTTAACTGTCAATAATTATAAATACAGATATACATTTTAAAATATAAATAAGTACAATATATATTTATATAGAATATAGACTGTAAGTCCTGCTCTACATTTTTATTTCTTTAAAAATAGATAAATTTCTTATAATTCTGCAAACTCATAATTTTATTTTAAAAATCAGAGCTTTGTAAAATAAATTGTTTTAAATAATTTAACTACTATCATAAAGCCCTGTCTCAATCTCACTATTTTTTTAAATCTATTATCTATGATTTTTTTTTAAATTTGGTTTTAACTAAAAAAAGTTATATTTTATAATGTATAATACATTAAATAATTGTATAGTATATGATGAATATGTTCTTCGCAAATAATAAATATTCTAATAATATTTGAAATTTTCTTGAGAAATATATTAAGCTGATTCTGTTTTAGTATGAAACTATGAGAAATTTGTGTAGTCAATATTATCAAACTAAAATTATTTGTATTTTATAAGGGTGAAAAGTTGGATATTATGCTTTTAAAACAATTAATTTAATATTGCTTAAGATTAATATATATCCATAAAATAAGATATATTTGATACCTTTTTTTTTGAAAAAAATAAAATGATAAACAATAAGTAAATTCAAGTAATTTTAGTTAGTGTAGTTAGTTAGTTGAGTGTTTTTAAAGAAATATAAAAATGGAGCATGATTGGCAGTATATTACTACACGTTTATACTATGCATTTATAATTTGTATATATAATAAAGGGGGTTGAGGTAGTTGGGAAATTAAGTTGTATTAAATGCCCAAGGTTTATAGAGCAATAACATTTTATTTTGAGGTATAGAGAAATAATAATAAATCTAAAAATTACTTTCTTTTTAAATTTTTTTTAACTTTCTAAGTCGTCAAAATTTATAAATAGAAAAAATACTGGTTTCTATAAATGTAACAAGCAACATAGGATTGAGTATTTAAATACAAGTATAAAATATCTTTATATTTGCTTTTTAGTAAAATAAAATAAATTAAAATAAAACAATGGCTCAAAATTAAGTTGTAGGTAAATAAATATATAGTCATAACTCATATTAATGGAAACCTGTTCCTTTACACTTTAGGTAGATGTTTATTGTAGCCTTAGATATTTATGAAATTTAAAAATATTTAGGACTCGTTTGATTATAAACAGTTATTATGTTAAAAAAAATAAACAAAATAAATGTATACAGGAAAAACTGAACAATTTTTACAAAGGCCCTTAGTAGTAAAACATGTGATGTTTGATAAACACAAAAACATGAAAAATCAATGTTGTTTTACCAAACAACAAGTAACCATTTTTTCTTAAACATAACTTATTAGTTACTACGTTTGAACATTTTGAGTTTCTGGTTAAGTCAAGCTCTTGATGGACCATCTATTTGCATTGAGTGTAACACTTCATCCAAAAGTTGTAATGCTCGATGTAAATGAACCTTTAAATAATTGTAAATGCAAATTTAAGTTATTTGTTATATTACTATATTGTCACACTAAATTTAATATTATTTTAGAATTACATACTTCTATCCAGCATGGAGTCTCTTTAATGCTACTTCGTCGATAGTCGGGACCCCAACCTTTTACAAAACTTAATCTTAATATGCACAATCTTCTTAAATCGTCTACTCCAATACCTGCTGCAGCACTCAAGCCTTCAACACAAGTTTACAATTATAAGAATCAATTCTATGATTGGCTGTAATACATGTAGTGAATAACAGAATAACATACTTATAGCTGGAGCAATACCTCCCACACTATGTGGTCCTGCAAGGTGTCCTGCGACTGCAGCTGCTTGTGCAGCAGCTGCATTTTGAGCTTTTTCGGCTTGTTGATGCATTTGTCGATAACACTGTCTAAGATCAAAAACCTAAATAATTTAAAACACTTATTATATCAATAAAAGCAAAAATCATTTATTATATTTCAGTTATCAAAATGTATTTAACATACTTTAATGTATGCATGAGGATAAATTTTATGGACTGCATCTCCTGGTGCTCGACCAGCTTCTCTATCTAAATAATATGACTGCACAAAAACTGAATGATCACTCTGACATTTTAACCATACATCTCCTTCTCCAATCAGATCTAGTTGGATACCTTTCCCAATATGCAATCTGTAAAAATCATTATTATTTATTAATATTAACAAAAAAATTTTAATGTTGTAAATTACAAGCTTACACTAATAAGTAATATTGTTAATTATTTTTACCTAGCTTTTTCACTTTGTTCTGTTCTATGAACATTACTAAGAGCTCCTAAACAAAATCGATTACTTCCAGAGGGATCAACATAACCATCAACGGTGACATGAGGGCAAGTAGACGTAACCTTAAATGTTTCTCCAACTTGAGTATCTAATTCAAAGTAAGCAATTGAACACCAATACTCAGGAGCTGGCTGAGATGATAATAAACCACTCAGTCCCATTTCAGACACCCCCCCTAGAAAAATAATACAATTACATTCAAGAGATATTTAAATATAATATAACTCTAAAAGTCTAAAAGGATAGATATTAAATTTACTCACAAAATGTTGGATGTGGTGGTTGCATTGAATGTGTATAAGTAAGTGTGCTTTGTACTGGCCGATTACCTGTTGTTGTGCCAGGCATCGGGGTGGCAGGTCCTTGATAATCATGAGGTGTCATTGTTTGACTAGGTACTGTATGTTAAATAAAAAATATTACTCAGTTTATTAAAAATAATTGTGTTATAAAAATATAATTACATAAATTTTCTTCCTCTTGTCCTGGGAACATACTGGGATTTTGTAATGGCATGTTTGGTGGTCCTATAACAGAAAAAGGTTATAAATTAGTACTTATTTATAAAATTAGCAAAAGTTATTAATCAACCCTTACTGGGCACAAAAGTGCAATACATAACTAAAAAGTTTAATAGTCATATATTTTCAATATTATGTAGATATGTAAATTCAAAAGCTTTATGTTGTACATTTAAACTACGTTTTAATATTTACTATTTACTATTGACTACAAAAATAAATAATGATACAAAACATTCAACAGGATAAATAATGTAAGCAAATTAGAAAATATGAATTAAAAACTGTAAGAAAAATTATTTTTCATTTTGTTTTGCTGACTTTTTATACTTAATGAAGATGTGATAAACAATATTAATTGACTAAAAATAAAATCATAAAATACAAATGAGTAAGAGAAAAGATGTAACTAATATTTTAAGGAATATTTTTCTTAATAAATAAAGCATTCAAACATATTTTTAATTTTAAATTGAAAACTATTTTATAAATAAATCAAACAGATAGAATGTTTGTAAAAAAAAAAATATTAGAAAAAATTAAATAAAGGAAAATTGCAGTACTTTACATTTTTATGTCATTGTGGACATCCAAGATTATCGAATATTTATAAGAATATACATTAAGCTTTGGCTTTTTATTGAATTCTTTGTCAAAATCTGAATTAAGTGATGATACTTAGTGTTTAAGCATATAATATAAGCAGTTATATCATAGCAAATTATATCATTAAATATTTGATTATATACTAAAGATAATGTAAATGATAAACAGACAACATTTTTAAAATATGTCCAAAATTGTATCTTAAATCTTAATACGAATAATAATTATCTTTCATAAATTGTATTAATATCATATTTTATTAGGGCATTTCAGAACCCAAGTAAACTTACTATTGGGGGGTATGTGTGATGGTGTACCCGGCATCCAATTGTTACATGATTCAGTCTTAACCTGTACTTGAGAATTTATACCAATTTGATGACTAGGACGTTGTTGCTGCTGTAGTGTAGGTCGAAACATACCAATATCTCCTACAAACAATTATGTTCTACTAATAACTACACATGCAAAACTATAAAACAATTCTAAAACATAAAATGATTCATCTCAATACTTAATATTTGGAAATATAGAAAATATTAACCTGTCAATACCATGCAGTTTATATTTTATGAATTTAAATATATTTTCATAGTTAATTCTTACCAGCAGCTTGAGGGACAGTTGGTTGTTGAGATACATCAGTGGCTGAATTTTGTTGGTGATATAAAGGAGGTAAGTGATGTTGTACAGTCACAGCTGGGCTGTTTCCAGATACATCACTGTCCATATTGGAACTGCTAACTTGACTAGAACCAGGTGGCGAGGGAGACATTCCTCCCCCACCAGCTGTATACTCATCTCTTAAGCCAATTATTCGGCCAGAACCATTAGTAGATGTACCACTTTGCAGTGTTAGACCACTTAAATCTAAACAGTTACTAGACTTAATAAATAATCATAATATATAAGTAAATAATTATTATTTACCTATGCCTGGTGATACAACTCGTTCATAATGATAAGGATTAACACACACAGAATCACATTTTAAGTCAAAAGCATACTGACAGTACTTTAAGTGCTTGAGTTCATTTTTATGTAAATCTGGCCATCGCCAGATTCTTGCGTATATAACATGTGGAAAACCTTTACGCCCAGCAACCTATAACAAAATAAAATGTTGACTATAAATAATAATCACTATTTGTATAATATGTACTTAATTAATGTTTGACATATTTAATTTCTGAAGTATTAATTAGAAATATAGAAACTGTAAATACCAAGTACATTTTGGTTCTGCTAATAACAAATAACTATTTAATAAAATGTAGAAATAAACACAATTATGTATCTGTACAATTCTCAAAAATCAAATGATTTAAATATAATCAGTAATTACTCACCTGTAATCGTCCATCTAATGTTCTTTGAATTGTAACACATTTTCTCGGATGTGAACCATTTGTGGTTATAGCTAGAATAAGACTATCTAATTCATCTCTTTTTTCCTAGGTAATAAGTAAAACATTTATTATTTATAAGCTATACAATCATAGAAATATATGTATTATGTAAATATAAGTGAATATTATCATAATAGAATATGTAGATAAGATCTCATGTACTAAAATTTACAATATTTATTAGGCAGCTCAAGTAATCGCAGAACTTAACTTTAATTGTCCATTAAATAGTTACCTTTAACTTTTTAACCAGTGACTCAATGGCTCGTTTGGCAAATCCTTCGCTTTCCCATCCCTGTCGATGGCACATTAAACTGTGTACTATACTCAAACAGGCATCAGCTGATGTTGGTGCAGTGGTTTGTTGCATTTCTCTGGCTTAAATTAAGAAAATAAACTAGGTACTATGATGTAAAAATACAACTACTCCAGAATATAATATGATAGTTAAATTCCTAAAAAACATTCCTTTTGATATATGATTAAGCGTAGTAAGTTGAAAACAGAAAAATGATAATGAAAACGACGAAACTATTCAGGACTGCAGGCACTTAGTCACAGTTGGTCTAAGGCCTGTGGTCGGATAACTCCGCAAGGGACTTAATGTTTTATTATAATTTATAGCGATAAATACCTATGTATTTTTACTATTATTATTCATTCGTACTTAGAAGTACGAATTAAAATTTTATAGGTTAGGTATTTTGTATAGATTTGCAAACATTTTGACCAACGACTGATTCCAACAGAATATCAGCGATCACAGACCCGTTCGTCTGCAATACCTCCGAGTGTCCAGACCATTGACGGGACGACAGCTCGTACGCATGATGCCCCCCCACCCAGCGATTGTGCACACATAAGTCCTCGATCGCGTCCCCCAGGCGCCGTATGGCGTGTAGGTAGATTCTAGTCCTATCAAGTCAACACCGACGATCACCACCTCGAACAGAACGGACTAGACCAATTATAGGCAATAGAACGTACTTGGTTGAGGAGCTGGCGGGTGTTGTATTGGTGTTGGTTGAGGAGCTTGTGCATACTGTTGTGACATCATGTGCGCGTCGGTTTCCATTTGACGGTTTTCGAAATTAATTAATCGTACCACGGAATTAAATAAAAACAACAAAGAATATATCAGATAACTCCCAATCGCCAAAAATTCGCAACACCAACATTGGGTTGTTGTCAATGTTGTGGTCGGTTTGTGTTATATTATTATACCTCTGATGGGCGTGTTTTCGTCAAGGGTTTCCCAAACGCAATTGGCTCGGGAGTCGGCGCGCGTATTTACGAAAATCTACTGGTGAACAGGTGAAGTGTCAGCCTCGTATTTTCGTTTTTTGCCAATGCTCATGGGTGTATTGTTTAAACAAATCCCGTCTTCGGTGTGAAAATAATCTACTTCCACCAGAATGGCATTCCGGCAACTGAACTATCGTTTGGGCCTAAGGGCTGTGCGTAAACAAAATCAATTGGTTTCTTCTGGGGGGGGGGGGATGTTAAAAATATTATGCAGAAATTATTTTGCTTACGATATATATATATATATATACGTAGGTGGTTATTGAAGTTGAAAAATAACCTTTTGAACAGTGAAAAGTAACCTACCTACCTCACGAAAAAAAATATTAAATATTTTGTTTGAGCTTAACTTTTATTTTATTATTCTAACTCTAACCCGGGTAAATATAAAAAATTACAGAACACTTATGTTTATATAATTATATAGGTACTAAAATCATCAACATAATAGTTTGGAAATCGGGGTATCGATGATCTGAACTTTAGTTTTAAATACCACAATTTCATATTAAGTATTTACCATCACCGCCCTACAATATACTCTAATATACATTATTTACATATGAAAAAGTTACTTTGTAAAGCAAATTTGGCCGAAAGGGATTTATCCTTGACCAGAACTTAGCAATAGCATTTGCTCCACTGCCAGCCCCTATTTGAAAAGTGAACGTTAAGAACTAATCTCATCTCTTAGTAGGAAATATTTAGAATTACTGCAACTTGGTGGAGGTGCGAATAATAATTTTATGACGCGATGCTTTATGTAAAAGTGGGAATGATTATCATAATGACATTTGTTAATCATTTCAATTTTCAAATATTGGGTTTGATGGCGGGAGCAGTCATCTACATCAACACGGGAACAATTGGTGGGTGGATACTAAATTAAAAATGTCGCGTTATAGAAAAAAAGTCCAAACAGATACTGCAATCACAATACAATATTAATAATGAGCAAATTTAAGTTTAAGAACATGGTCACAACTCAGTGTTAGGATATTTATGATTAACAACACAAAAATAACTAATATTTAAATACTTTTTAATCATTGTTTTTATAAATAAAAAAAAATCAGTAAACTAAGCTAAATTAACAATTTAATATGAAAATATCATAAAATAGTAAGCTAAAAATATTTTTTCTTCAATAAATAAAGCAACAAACCAAATTCTGTACACGATACATAATGACAAAAAAGTATACATTTTTTGAACGAAATAAGTATAATTTTTTTTAACAAAAAAAGTATAGTACATAATCAAAATAAAAAATAAAAATTGTATTATAAGTAAAAAGCAACAAGTACTTAAAATTATAACACTGAAAAATAAACATGTAAATTAAAATTTAATTTTGATCTGTGAAAATGTCATCTCAAAGACTTTACAAGACCCAAGTAAAAATTTAATTTCGTTCTGATAATATTTTGTTAGTTTTTCTGTTATTCTGGTTTTCTGTTTTCTTTTCGTGTTTCTGAAACATAAATGTTGCATTATTGTAAATTCAAATAAGGTTTTTAAATGAAAAAATATAATACCATTGAATGTATACTATACAATATAATATACCCAAATGATAAAACTTAAAATAAATTATTAATTGTCATGACATTTTGATAAATTTTTTACCTTTAAAACCTTAGGGCTATTTTCTTTAGATGGTAAATTGGATTCAGATCCATCTAGGGATTGCACGCTAGAACTTATAGATGAAGGTATAGAATTTATTGCAGGTTCACTAAAATCAACTAAATATTTTTGAATAATATCACGTCTCAATGTCGTGTTAACCAAATCTGGAGTGTCAAAGTGTTTTCTTTTTGGCGTTTCTCCTATTATAAATTGTTTAAAATATAATTGTATTATAATAAATTATTTTTCATTCAAAATTCATACCTAATGGCGTGCATTGTTTAGATTCGTTCATAAACATATTTATATTTGTTTCTTGTCTGAAGAATTCTTCTTTAACACATAAGCTGCCTGTACCCAAACTATCGTCCTGTTTTTCTCTGAGAACTGAAAAACTTGTGTGAAATTCTTTTGAAATATTTCCAAAATCATCTATTGTTTTTTTAGCATCCAGAAGTGTTTCGGACACACTATTTGTTGTGTTCTGAATAATTAAAATAAAAAAAAATTGAAATTTGTTTACTCTACAAGTATAATATTTAAATACATTACCAAAATGTTATCATTGGCAGTTTCCACATGAGTTTTTATTTCTTGAGTCAAATGATTTAATTCTTTATTTATTGTTGTTGAAATTTTTGTAAGTTCATCCTTGTTACTACTACACTTCTCTGATAAAGTTTTCAATTGTGCTCCATCACTTATGGTGTTCATTGTTATACGGCTCTTTAGAGAAACAAAATATTTCACAATATAGGTAATAAAGAAGAAACTATCTTTTATCTACAAATTAAAACCAAAATTATATAATAGATAAATATTTTAACTACCTCATTTGTATGGTGTTCAATTGGTTCGAGCAAATTAGAGTTTTGTAAATGTATTCTTTCTAAAGTTAGTACACATGGTACCAAATCTTTAATTCCCTTATCTTGGTTTGTGAACATTTCTGATATTTCATTATTTTGTGTATTGAATTCTAAATTTATTTCATCATATTTTTTTGTCTCTTCAGCATTTTGAATATTTTCTAAGAATTGAGTATTGAATTGTTGACATTGTAAAGTATAGTTAAAAAACTGGTCCTTGATTTTTTGGATTTTCTAAAAATATTTAACATTTATTATAAATTGTTTAAATATATTTATTATTTTTAAAAAAGGGTCACAACTTTACTTTTAATGTTTCTTGTTTTTCTATATCCATAGATTCATAGCATTTTTTCAAACGATTAATATAAAGGTTTTCAATGGATTTATTAAAAGCCTCTTGAGTAGTCAAACGATACTTAATTTCACATAGCACATCATTCATATTTTTGTTGTAAGATTTTGTCTAAAATAACATTTTCAGTAAATTATATCAAATTAAATAATTTCCTATTCAACAATAAAATAATATTAACTTTTATTTTAAATATATTTTTATCTAATTGTGCATTCATTTAAACCAGTGGTCTCAAACCCTTGCAGCCCGCAATTAACATATATATCTTTAAAAATAAAATTAAAAATTAAAAATTTGTCAAACAATAATCAATATGTACAATATTTGTAATACCTAGATTAAAAAAGTTACTTATATTATAATAATTATAATAGAATAAATTACATCTTCATTTTTTTCGGGATTTCGCATTAAAACAAGTAAGAAAAAATTAAACACTGGTACTTTCAGTTTGATGCTACAGATCTAAATAATTAAAACAGTTTTAAGTCTTAGAAACAAAAAAAACTAAAATTAAAATCAACAGTTTTTTGATTTTCTATGGAATGAATAATTTCCCTTCTAAGATTTAGGTATAAAAATATGTTCATAAATTTGTGGAATATTTTTAACTATATATTAGGTATTTAATTCGTTTATCATAAAGTACCTCATTTATGTGATTTGAAATTGCATCATGGTATAAATCCATGGATGTAGTAACATTAATTATTGTTTCTGATTTTTCCATTATTTTGGCTTCCAAAAGTTCCATTTCCTTTAGTAAATTAAGTATTGTTTGATCTATTTTATTTTTTCCAGTTTCTCCTTGATTCAATATGCCCATTACCTAATTAAAATAATGTGTAATATCAGGAATAATCATTTTCTATTAAGTAATTTTATCAAAAAATTACTTGTTTTTTCATATTGGAGAAAATATTCACAGTTGCATCGTTATTATTATTGATCTGATTCATAACTACTTGTAGATTATTTTTGATTGAAGTATTTTGACTAAGCATGTCGTCTAAAATAAATGGTTGTCTAAAGTAAATTCATTAAAACTTTAAAAAGAAATATGTTACCACTGAGTTTTTCTTGTGTATCTAAATATTCTCTATTTTTACTTTCAAATAATGTTAAGGTCTTTGAAAATGAAATATTTGTTTCCATTACTCGATTCCGTAACTTCTCAATGGCTGATTCATTTGTTTTTTCCACATCACTAGATAATTTAAAAAATATATATTGAAATTATCAATATCAAGGATAAATGTACGTAAAATAGATAAATTAATGAAAATTAACAAATTTAACTTACATAGTGCGGTCTATTTTATCATGAAGCAATTTCATGTCATTTTCATAATTTTCAGCTAAAGACCTTAAGTTTGTTGCTTCTTTGTCAAGTTTAACAATAAGACTGTCTCTTCTGTCACGTTCATCCATTGTTCGTATTAAATCAACTTTTAATTCCCGCATTATTTCCTTCAAATATAAAATCAGATTATTATCAAAAATGTATTGAAACTATAAGACCTTGTATTATAATAAAATGACTAGTTGGGAGCAAATTGTTTTTTTTTTTGTTGTTGAGTTAAGTTTTGAGTATTAATTTTTTGTAGTTGAGTAGTTCAATAGTTAACAGTGAACTCAAAAAGCTTTGAAAATAATGAAACTGCAGGGTTCTAATATTGACACATATAATTTAATTATTTAATAGATAATAACTTTCAGAAGCATACTTCTTTTTTATTTAATTCTTCATTAACAGCTCTGATAGTAGCAATTTTTTCACAGATGTCTACTTCATTTTTTTCTAATCTCAACACCATGTCATTGTAATTTTCTTCAGCTACATAAACACCATTTTTATCTCTAGTGGCAACTAAATCTCGCTTAAGTTTTTCTATTTCATCAGTATATTCCTAAAATAATTAATTATTTCAATTAACATATTTAATATTACAATTTGTAAGGAAATTCATACCCGGATTAAAGCTTTTTTTGTAAATTTCTGATTAACTTCTGGCTTATTTTTTATGCTCTT